CCATATCAGTTTTTGCTTTTGAACTGAGTCTATCAATCATCTCTTTGTTAACTACTGGTAAATAAGAAAATAAAATTATAAATTCAAGATTGTCATACATCTACATAATAAACAAAAATAAAACTACATCTTTAAACATCCATGTCAGTTTTTACTTTTGAACTAAGACTATCTATCATCTCTTTTTAAACTACTGGTAAATAAGAAAATAAAATTATAAATTCAAGATTTATTTTGGACCAAAGTAGAAACAATAATAAATAAAAAATATTTTGGAGTATGAATAGTTCTGAAATATCTGTGAACCTGTCCTGATACCTGTCTGGTTTCTCAACAACAACAACATGTGATCCAGTCATGTGACTTAACCTCCATCTTTCTGTGGTTAATTCTCTGAGACTCTGTTACAATTTATGTCAAAAGTAGAGACTTCGAACTATACATCAGTTTTTAAAGACTGTTCCACTTCAAGAATAATAGTCATAATTTCTCCTTACCTGGGGAAAGTCTGCATTATGATCACTGCTGTCTCCTCCCTGACCTTGTTCTTTGTAACTGTGGTAATGAAGATTTATTTTAAATATGTAGAAAGCAGCCAGCATGACTTCTGCACAGAAATGAAAGATGACTGGGTTTATCTAGCATTAATAAACTAGCTTGGATGTAACAGGTAACAACTAATCATGTTAACTAGCTAAACATTATATAATGTGTAACTCATCATTTAGCTAACATTATCTGCCTCCAACAGCATGACTCAACTTACATGGTTTGTTTGGTAAAAACTGTGGGAAGTTTTAGTTGCTCTTTACACCAGGAGGCTCTGCTCTGCTCAGCACAGCAGCTCCTATCCGTCATCTCATCTGCAGGAGTAGCTTGGTGCGTTCAAAGACGGCTCAGAAAAACACATTACCATATGTTAATAATGGATAAAACAGCTGTTACGGCTGAGAAAAGTGCGGGGACAGAGAGCGCAGATGCAGGAAGTGCGGGGAGACATGTCCACGCATATCCTGCATCCGTTGTGTCCGTGCCTTCACTGCCCAGGGCCCTTTGGAGACCGTGGGCTCCTGGGCCCATATGGTTAATCCGGCCTTGCTGCTTTTCCTCCAACAGAAATCTGCTTTTTCATTTGCTGAGATTTAGGAAGTATATACAAATTTATGTATGTATGTGTTTGTATAATGTTATGGCAATATTTATTTAACAAAGACAGAAATACGTGGTCCAAGAATGAAGGTACTCCGTGGGATGATCAGCTGAGTTTTATTGAAACAGGAAACAGAACAACCTGGCCTGTCTCTGTGCCTCTGCCTCTCTCTGTGACTGTCTCTCCACACACTGTTGAACACTGAGTCCCGAGAGGCCTCATATATATATATATTAACAAACACCATAATGTCATCTTAGCAAGATTTGATACCAGGTCAATGGAAAACACAAAGATAAACACAAGTGATATCTAAGAATGACTGTTGTTAGCAGATCTTGTTCTGACTTTAATCATTTTATCTGCTGATGATGAACAGCACGTCATGAAAACCAGGTCATTAAAGGATGTCATGAATTACTTGCTTAAACATAAAAGTATTAGTTCTATTACATATAGTAGGGCTATTCAACTAAATTGCTCCGGGGGCCACAGTCACTGCCGGTCAACAGCTGAGGGGCCGTACATCCAGCAATTAAAGTTATTGTGTAAATAAACCAAGTTTTACAAAGATCTGTTACCTTTGAATTAGTTTATTTTGTTGCATTTAATCATGAATACAACATACAGAACCCTGTAAAAGTAGTGATAATTACACATTATCAAAAACAAAAAGAACACATTCTGCCTCCTATTTGACACAAATAATATTTTGACATCTCTGATTGCCAAATTTTTTAAAACACTTTAATTTTCACTTTCATCATTTTATCTTCAACTGTTTGTAGTTTTAACTGTCTAGAGTGTTCATAGAAATGGTTTTTACCAGCTTCTAGCCAGGATTCTGACGTTTCTGTAGATACCAAACATGTCTGTTTAACCAAAAGAACTTAGAGTAATTAAAGTAGAAAACCGGGGATTTGGGCATAAGAGATGAATGAACCAATTGGCGGGCCAAACTTTGGTCACTCGCGGGCCGGATGTGGCCCGCGGGCCGCCAGTTGAATAGCCCTGACATATAGTATATGTATATTACACACACACGTACATACATACATATATATAAAGTTTTACTAGATGTAGACACTTGTAAAATGTTAAAGGCACAGTGTGTAGGATTTGTTGTTTTCAGCGACCTCTAGTGGTTGAATCATCCTCCCTGGTCCTCCCCCC